AACCTGTCTTGAAAAACAAAAAATAGAAAAAAAATAAATAAAAATAAATAAAAATAAATAAATAAATTCAGAATATTAAGTATAATTTGTCAATATATTTACTAATAAAGTGCATCTGTGAAAATATATATTTACTCTAAACCAAAAATTGCAGAAAAGCATTAAATTATTGATTCTATAATTTTTAAAGGTTGCAAGTTCTTTGCAAAGGTTCTCTTTCTGGTTGAAGTTTACTCTATTAAGAAAGAGAAAGGGTATAAGTGAAATCCAAAATTTACATAAACGAAAAACCAAGATTCATCAATTAGTCAAAACCTTAGATTCTTCCATCTGTCCTATACCACCTCAAATGAAAATCTGTCTAGGAATACATTTTAGATTTAAGTTCACCAGCTTACCCAATTACAAATTCTACCTTAAAAACTGAGAAAATGAGGTCTTTGATCTATACTAATATATTAAACCTCAGAGAATACTTACAAAAAATATACTTCAGGACTAGAGAGATGGCTCTGTTGTTAAGAGCACTTGTTACTCTTTCAAAGGACCAAGGTTCAATTCCCAGCACCCACATGGTGGCTCACATTCACCCTAGGGGATCTAATGCCTTCTTCTGGCTTCTAGGGGCACCAGACATACAAGTGGTGCAGACACATACAGGCAAAACAACCTACCGTACACATATACTAAACTAAGAAATTTTAAAGAACACACACACATACACCTACACACCTCTGTTGACAGTCTATTAGAAACCGTGTTCTCGAGAGCAGATGAACAGTACAACTGCAGGGTACTCAGTACTGGCAAGGATTGTGACACTGTTAGCGTAGACAGTCTTAGTGGTCCAATAGCTATGCGTGAGGTTTGCTTCAAGTACTTTACCACGTTTCTGAAAGAACATATTTGTTGTCAATTAATTAACAAGATTCTTCATCTTGTAACCACTAGAATGAAGTGGCTAAGGCACTACCATTTGGCATCAAAAAAAAAAAAAAAAAAAAAAAAAAAAATCAGGGGTCACAGTTAAGGAAAGCAGTCTGCTCTATAGTAGATTATGAGCAAAACAAGATGTCTGCTTTCAGGGGTTTCTACACATCTGTAGTTCCAATTTTTTGCTGCTGTCTGCCAATGTGTACACTTGTGACTCACTCAGTTAAGGACTGCCATTTCTGATCTTGTTCCATATGGTTTAAAGCAGTTGCCAAAAAGACCGAGCTTCTCAACAGCTGGACTTCAATGGATTTCTGAAGCTCCCGTGGGTCTGGGCTGAGCATGTTAGGAAGCAGCTTTTTCATATCTAAACAAGTTACATTGTATTAAGTTAATTTGTTCTTAATGTACAAAGGTATTAAAATATTTTGGCAATATTTAATAAGGTAATTATCATCAGTGAATACCTCCTTTCTTTCCTTAAGGTCAGGTAGCTAGACATTTTAGATAGTGTAAATTTAATAACATAAACTGCATTATTTAACATAAAATTATACCTCGTGTCTCTAACAATCACCTGCCATTAAAGGTGCAAATATTGGTAAGAAATCTTCTTTACCCCTTCTTTTTACACTCAAAACTTGATTCTATAAAGGATGTAACCATTTCAGTGAGGTTTTCCTCCACTTCACTTCATGAAATTTAATCTTACATTTTATTTAATGGTGTGCACTGTGTGTGCACCTGGAGACCAGAAGTCATCCTCCAGTATCATTCTTCTAGTCCCATCCATCTTTTTTTATCAGTCTCTCAATGGCCAGCCTACCCTGCTGCTCTAGCACTAGGATTACAAGCATATGCCAGCATATAACACTTTTTGACAGATGCTATGGACTGAACTCAGCTCCTCATGTTTGTATGGCAAATAGTTTAGTGACTGAGATAGCTCCTCAATCCTAAGCTTACTGGTATATATTTAACTAATTAATTATATACCATATAATAACTATATACCATACCAACTAATAACTATAGCCAAATTCATTTATACCAGAAAAAAACTAATTCTAAGACAAGTATGATTTTTTAAGACTTGAAATTAAGTTCAGAGATAAGTACACTTCAACAGTGAGCACCTTATATAAAAAACGAAAACTGCCAGGTATAGTGGAATCTGTCTTTAACCCCAGCACTCAGAAAGCAAACAGCAGGACCTATGAATTCAGGCCAAGTCTACATATTGAGTTCCAAAAGAACACAAAAAAAACAAAATCAAAGTTACAGGTAGGAAAATTAGTTTTAAATGACTCACCTCTCTTTTTAAAAAAATTACACAATTTTTCCAAAATGTAAATGAAAAGGCTAATTACATGGAAACAATACTACACATCTTGGCCAACGGTGAAAGCCTTTATAGTCAAATACCCATCAAGGATGCACCTGGTTTGTTTTTACAGCTCTCCACAGAAGTACTTGAGAGCTTACATGATGCATCCTACTCTCCATGAGGCAAACCTCAATCTGCACAGCAGATCTCTGAATGCCTCAACAGCAGTAATATACAGTACGCTCATATAGACGAAAATTAAGGAAACTGCAGCCCAAACACTGCTTTGTGCTTTTTCAATTAAATGTTTACATCAATCTAAAAGTCTTAATGTCACCTTTTCCCAGTTTTAATTTTTTGTTGTTGTTTGCTTGTTTGTTTTGAGACAGGATTTCATTGGATAATGGCGAGAACTCAGAGGTCCGCCTGCCTCTGCCTTTGGAGTCCTGGGATTAAAGGTGTGTGCCTCCAATGCCAGTTTAATTTTAACTGAGCCACTTTTTCATTTGCCTCATCAACTATTAATAGCACAATTTTGGTGAAATATGTTGCTTCATATAGTGTAGGACTCCAAATAAATATACAAGAACTTACAGGTTTCCTAGTAAAACAAAAACTATCCAAAGTTTTAAGAAACTTGCCATGAAAAAAAAAAAAACTGTTCTCAAAATACCTATTTTTTCTTTTGATCCTCCAGCAAGTAGATTAATATTTTCTCCTGGTAACAATTCCAATTGCTCAGTGCATTCAACAAACTCTCCAGACTCAAAGCTGCTTAGTGACCTGTAATTAAAATACCCATCAGCTTGTGTTAGGCCTCACTAGCCCTGTGTTACCTGGGAACAATGGGAAGAACAAGCAGTAGAAGGGAGCAACTTTTCAAAGAAATGGATTTAGAAATACCATTTCATCTTGATGGGGCTCCCATTTCAGTAAAGTCCTAGCCATGACCACCAGTTGAGCCTTCTCACCTCTGGCTCTCCTTCCTCTTTCTGTGAACCTGTTAATACACTGGCAGCAGATTCTACATCAAGTAAGTCTTCAACACGTGCTTTCTCCAAGCCACCTGCTGGCCTCTCTCCCCCATGAAAAGCGTCCTAATGTCTCAGTTTTATACCTTAGTCCTGACTCTTTCACTGAGACATCTCCCAAACCTTTGTGGGGTTTTTTGTTTTGTTTTGTTAAGTCATTTACCATCCCTGAAAGAATTCCAACTATTTCCTTTTCTGTAATCATTTCCTATAGCTCTGACACTCCAATGCCAAGATGAGAGGCCCTACTCATACAAGCTCCACACCTCTCTGCCCCATCTCTACTAAAGATATCCCCCAACCAGGAGGAAGATTTATGTTCTCAACCTCTCTTTTCTATCTTTTTCAGACAAGCTGGTTTGGAATTCACTTATGTAACTAAGGATGTTTGTCCTCCTGTCTCCTCCACCTTTCTAATGCTGGGATTACTGACTACACCACCACCATTCACTGGGTCCCTTCTCTTATCACTGAGTCTGAAAGCAGCAATGGAAATATTCATCAGTTGGCTTACCCCATTCCTCTACAACTACAACAGTATCAACAGTTGCTTCTCAGGTTAGTTAAACACTATTATCTATCCTACTACAAGACCTTAGGCTTTCTGGCAGCCCCCCCCCCCCATGTCCCCACTGTACTCTACAGTTATACTACGTTTTCAACTGCTGACAAGATACTACCACTACCACCCCCCCCCCCAAAAAAAGAAACTTAGACTTTAATTTCTTCTGACCTCACCCATTCTGCCACAGCTATCCTAAACTGTCTATGCCTAACTTTAACTATTTTCCTTGAGGCACAGAAAAGACAAGTAATCCTTTGTCAGGTTTTTTTCCCTCCCATTTCCTCTCTTTCTATTTTCAAGAGTTAGAAGCAGTGTGTTTTGTCCTGCTATACTATACCCGATGCTTCCCACAGATTATTTGTTCAGTTACCAGGAAAGCAAGGACAGTGAACCAACTCTGATGAGCTTTGCCCTTCCAGTCATGTGTCTGGAATGCAGTAAATCCACAATTTTGAGATGCATAATTAAAGAAAAACAAAGAATATAACTTAGAGATATTCACAAACTCTCACCATTAAAACAAATTTCTTTAAATATTTAACAGTACTTCAGAAACATAGCTGTCCTGTGTGAGCCTCTCTAAAGCAGTGCCTCTTTATATATAATTCTATCTTCCAACTAAGAAGATTCCTTCCTTACCCCACTGTTGGTTTCCTCTTATAAATATGACCAATTTTAGTATTTGCCACCACAGAGGAAGACTACTTATCAACAGAGCAGAGGACGCTGACTAGATGCAGCCATTACTTGATATAATTGAAATCAGCTTTCAGATTGAGTGAAGTGCTGCTGGTGTTCTTCTTCAGATCATGGACAGCATTCTGCCACTCCTGCACAGCAGCCCAATCCGCAATAGAGATGTAGCACTCGCAGGCCTTATTCCCTAGGTAATTGATAACTTCAGGGGAAGAATCAGTTGGCTTGGACAGCACAGTTTTCCTGGATTCGCCTGAAAGGTATTTGATTAAGAAAGAAGACAGAAACTGAGAACTGTAAATATTTCATAGACCATAAACACCTGGAAACATATGGTAAGTTTACCTGGACAAATAAATGCACTGTAATTTTGACATTGTTAATATAAACGCTGAATGCTCACCATTTAGAGAGTGTTTGGGGCTGGCACTGTTACGTCCAGCATTAGCCAATGTGAGAACAGATTTGTCAAAGCTGGAGATGCAGCAATCAACACCTGTCATGGCACAAAGGTGCTCCTGATACTCCACAGAGGCCTTTTCAAACCTTAAATACAAATTAAAGCAGTCTTATTTTTTTTTTAATCACTCAAATGAAACTCCTTCTAAAAAAGAATTAAAGGTGAGAGAATGAATTACTTGACGAACTGCACCTGGACAAAGAGTCAGCTATTGGAGGGGAAAATTAGATCTCTGCCTTATAAAGACAGTATAAAACTAGTGGGCCCGGCAGTGGTGTGGCTCAAGCCCTTAATCCCAGCACTTGGGAGGTAGAGACAGGCAGATCTCAGTGAGTTCAGGCCAGCCTGGTCTATAGAGTGAGTTCCAGGACAACCAAGACTGTTACACAGAGAAACCCTGTCTTGAAAACCCAAAACAGACAAGCAAAAAAAGAAAAAAGAAAAAGAAAAAAAAAAACAACCCACTATCATAAACTACTGATAATAAATAACTACTTTGATATACAACAATATTTCAAAAGTATGCCAAATTAGTATGCACTCACAAATAAGCAATGGTGTCCATTAAGAAAACTCAGGCCAGGCAGTGGTGGCGTATACCTTTAATCCCAACAGTCAGGAGGCAGAGGCAAGCAGATCTACAGATCTGGATCTATGTGAGTTCAAGGCCAGCCTGGTTTACAAAATGAGTTCCAGGGCAGTCTCCAAAACTACAAAGAGAAGCCCTGCCTCAAAAAAAAACAGCAAAAGAAAAATGAGATTGTAGAAGATATTTTTTTAGAATATTGGTGAGTAGAAAAGCCATGCAGCTCTGTAGATAGACTGATGTTTCTACAGCAGAGGTTAAAAACTACCACACTCAGGGCTGGAGAGATGGCTCAGCGGTTAAGAGCATTGCCTGCTCTTCCAAAGGTCCAGAGTTCAATTCCCAGCAACCATATGGTGGCTCACAACCATCTGAAATGAGATCTGATGCCCTCTTCTGGCTGCAGACACACAGACAGAATATTGTATACATAATAAATAAATAAATAAA